CCTTATGTCACTTTTCCAAATGATCAACTAGAAGTCAAGTTATTATTTGTTGCTTTTACAACTGGGATTGATGACAATGGGGGGCTGGGGGGTTTAGAGGGGTGTCATGGACAAAGAAGGTTGGGGAGTTGCGGATGAAGAGGGTTGGGAAATTGAAGTGAGGGATGTGTGTGAGAAGGGGGATCGGTAAAATGAGGTGCCGAACCAGGTTACAGAGGTGCTAGTTCCGGATCCGGCACAAATTAAGCCCTATATATATATATATAGTACATATGTACATATATATATATATATATATACAGTGGCGTAGCGCGAAATGTGGAGGCCCCCCTGCAGGGATCGCTGACGGGCCCCCTGATGAGGGTGGGGGGGGGGGGATACGTCATACGTCCATTTGCATATCACTGACGTCATCACGTTCTACCGTTTCTGTTTAACAGCCTATGGTTAATAAAGAGGTATTTATAATTGCACTAAACTTTATATAAGCATGTTTATTTAACTAAATTTATTGCTGTTTGAATACAGTATATTATTACAGATGTGTAACGTTAGTGAATGTGCAGTAATCTCTCATATGAAATAAACTCAGACAAGTTCAGAAACTGTCACTAAAATATCTGTGATTGTGAACAAGAAAAGAATAAACGGTCCAATTAAATTGTTAAAATAAAGTAGAAGTAGATCGGTTTGACTGTACAAGGGAAATACCTTCACACTGCCTGTGCTAAATCATTTGTCGTCGGTACGCAGAGGGGTGATCTGCTCTCGGGCTGCAGGTGGGAGAGGCTGCTGTAGAGGACTGACTGGGCCGCCTGTCAGTGCTGTGAGGCGGGGGAGGGGCCGGCGGCATCACACGCAGCTCGTTGAGAAGAGTAGGGACGCTACAGTATGGAAAAATGACAGTCTAAAAAAATCTCCAATAACACACAAAAAAGTCGCTAGGGGGGTCTGAAAAGTCGCTAAATCTAGTGACAAAGTCGCTAAGTTGGCAACATTGGCGGCAAGCAATCAGAATGAAGTAGTCCACCGCTTGAGAGGTGTTCAGAGAACACAGACGTGTGAACTTTGGTTCCGACCACAGTTGTTCCCAACAGTTTATTGAAAATCGCGACGACGCGGGGCCCCCTAATCACGCGGGCCCGTCCGCTACGCCACTGTATATATATATATATATATATATATATATATATATATATATATATATATATATATATATATATATATATATATATATATGCATATAATTTTCTTTATCCTTTTTAAAGAATATATATGCTTTAAAAGGGATAAAGAAAATTATATGCATTTTTGTTATATATATTTATACACACAAATGGGCAAATTATAGTAGATTTTGACACATTGGCTCAGTTTGGATCTTCGATTTGACAATTTTAGATGTAAGATTTTTACATTTTGGCTTTTTAAAAACTAACTTGACTGAAATTGAATGAAATTTGGCTACTTGATGCAAAAAAATGCAAAAAAAAATCACAAAGCAAATAAATAAATAGCAATATTTTTGTTTAATTATTATATTTAATATAGAGTTTTAAAAATTGAATTTCCATAAAAATTATTTCTGAACTCATGCAAGTAAAATTTTAAACATCAAGTCAGAGTATTTGTCACAATCACCAGCAATCTAGCAGTTAACTACAAATCTATCACGGAACTGGACTTCAAATCCCATCATGCACCTCACACACACACCAGCTCCAGTGCTCTCCCTTATTGCACACACACAGCTGAAAACGAATCATAGACTGATTATATGGACTAAGTATTCACCTCTCACAGACACACATTGCTGAGTCTTGTTGTATGTTTACCTGTAATGTTGTGACGTGTTTTTTTTGTTTAGTTTTACCATGCCTTTAGATCCTCGTCTTGTTTCTCTGTTTATCCTGTTTGCCTCTTGCACTGACCTCTGCTTGTGACCACGACTACACTATTGGATTACCCTCATGATATTGTTTGTTCCTGTTTGACTATTGCCTGCCTGACTAAGCCTCACCTCCATTATCACCCGACCTCTAATGTTACAGTATTAATGTTTACACTTCACATGCTTTTTTTTTTCTAGTTTATCTGTCACAAATACTTTAATGTCATTGTGTTTTGTCTGCAAATCTGTTTGAATGAAGACGTTTGGGAAGATTGATGTTATGTAATTGGCTGGATGTGGTTTATTGTTGGCAACAGATGGCCGATGCTGTCAGGAACAGATGGGGGCCGCACTGATCACAGAGGGACACGCTGTCGTGTTTTTACTTCAGAGCAGTCAAAACATAATTTTTATGACACTTCTTGTAAACCCCTGATGCTGACAAGTTATTAAATAAATTCGTGTTTAGTTAATAGATTTTTCAGAGGAGAGAAAATTGCTTTTGAATTAATATTTGTGCTTGAAATGTGTCATAATAACTATAAAAATGTCTAAAAAAAATTCAGTATATTTTTTCCACCTTTTTAGGACTAGGGGAGGAAAGACAGAAAAGCATTGGGAGCAGAGGATGGGGAAGAATTGGCAAAAGACCTCGAGCCCGGAATCAAACTCGGGTCACCGTTAGCATCATAGTGCTATGTGTTGGCTCACTTAACCAATAGTGCAGGGGTGGCCAACCCTGTTCCTGGAGAGCCACCTTCCTGCAGATTTCAGTTGCTACCCATATCAAACACACCTGAAGCAATTAATTAGGACCTGAACAACACGTGATAATTACAGGCAGGTGTGTTTGGTATGGGTTGCAACTGAAATCTTCTGGAAGTTGGCTCTCCAGGAACAGGGTTGAACACCCCTGCACTAGGCTATGGCGCCAACAGAAATGATTATGTTTTTAGGTAAGTTTTTTTACACCACAAAAATAGGGAACAATTAACAGCTGAAGACACGCTCACAAAATAAATTACGTTAAATTAAACAAAAAATTCTTCGAACAAAACAACAAGGAGATTTTTTTAAAGTATATTATATAAGTTATTCATTCATTCATTTTCTTTTCGGCTTATGCCCTTTTATTAATCTGGGGTTGCCACAGCGGAATGAACCGCCAACTTATCCAGCACATGTTTTTTTTTCGGATTATATACATTATTTTGCATATAAATTGTAATGCCCTATCATTTCTTTACGTTTATTCGTTAAGCTTTGTTTGCTTTGTTTTTAGTTTCATAACATTATGTACAGTACATTATCTTAATTAGTATATCATTGTCAAATCATAACATTATTTATACAGTTAAAGCTGATATATTATTACGTTATATTAAGTTGTTGCTATATCAGTCTCAAATTATATTATATATATATTTTTTTTTCTTAAGTTTTGCTTTTAATTTCATAGCTAGCATTAGCATTACATAAAGTAAATTATAATTATTAGACATATTATGTCTACTGGCGCAGCAGGTAGTGCTGTCGCCTCACAGCAAGAAGGTTGCTGGGTCGCTGGTTCGAACCTCAGCTCGGATCAGCACAGTTGGCGTTTCTGTGTGGAGTTTGCATGTTCTTCCTGCATTCGCGTGGGTTTCCTCCGGGTTCCCCCACAGTCCAAACACATGTGGTACAGGTGAATTGCATAGGCTAAATTGTCTGTATAGTGTTTGAGTGTGTGTATGAATGTGTGGATGTTTCCCTGAGATGGGTTGCGGCTGGAAGGGCATCAGCTGCGTAAAAATTTGTTGGCGGTTCATTCCGCTGTGGCGACCCCGGTTTAATAAAGGGACTAAGTCGACAAGAAATTGAATGAATGAATGAATGTCTATACTATAACATTATGTACAGAGTAAATCAGATTATTTATTCATGACTTGATTTAAAATGTAAAACAGTACATGATATTTAAAGTTAATCCCTGTAAATAATATAGATTTTTAAAAATCTCTCATGTGATTGGTTTCTGTGGCGGGCACTGTTACTTTAAAATGATAGTTCACCCAAAAATGTCAATTCTGTCATCATTTATTTTCCACCTTACTTTTTTCTAACATTTATGACTTATTTCTGCTTCTGTAAAACACACACACAAAAATATAGTTTGAAGAAAGCTGAAAACCCGTAACCATTCTCTTACATATTTTTACTACTAATAGTTAAGAGTTTTCTTACATTTTTCAAAATATCTTTTTTTGCTTTAACAGTAAGCTAAAAATAAATAGAAAACAGAAGAGATGGTATTTGACCCAAAGTGTATAGGTGATCATTGTCAATTGGTTGTCCACGACTATCATTACTCAGTCAAAGACCTATGAGTAGGTACTTGATCATTTACATTGACAGTTATTATGAAAAACACACTTAGAGTGGATTTGTTCTCATTTACACCAGAGATTGTATAATTTTTTTATGGAGATTACGTCTCTTTGGAGTTAACAAGCAGATTATGATGTTGTGGTATAAAGCGGTTCTTGAAAGCATTATCAGTGATGGTATCACAGTGTGGTTTGGCACATGTGTAAATCTAACTTGTTGCATCTCTTAAAGACAGGATGGATAATGATTGGGCATGATGAATATTTTAATCCTTAGGTTTTATATGGGAATTTTCCATCCTCAATCAGGTGGAAAGGATTCTGAATGGTCTAACTCATTTTTTCTTTCCACATTATGAACTGCTTCGAGTCCCTAAGTGTAGGTTGAACCGATATAAGAAACCCTTTGTACCTGTTTCTGTGGGTTTATTTAATAAGAGTTTATCTTAATTAGCATTATAATTATTGTAACTGCTGTTTTTTGGGTTGTTTTTATTGTTTGTTTTATGTAATGTCTGCAGCAATATGGTTATGTCCATAACAAATTTCCTGTCAAGGACAATAAAGTTTACTGTTACTACTACTACTATAGTATAAAGAAACTCATAAAGGTTTGGAAGCACGTGAGGGTTTGTAAATAGTGTGTTAATTAGATTTTTAGTTGAACTGTCCCTTTAAATGCAGTGCGCGCGCCTGCTCGCTCTCTGTATAAGCGGCGTCGTGAGCGCGCAGCGGGTGAACGCGCCCAAGTTTCGCGGCAAACGCAGAACAGGCGAATCTCCTCACAAATCAGCCTCAACGCCGGTCAGGTGAGTTTTTACGATTTATATTTCATTTCCGTCAACATTAATGAATATCTGAAGGTGATTTAGGTTTAGAAAGCGTTTTGAAAGGTGTGTATTGCGTTTACAGGAAATGTCAGTTATTTTTACACAGAATATCCGAACTAAATGGCTCAGCTGTCATGACAATAACTTAATTTCATCGTTCATATAGAGAATATAAATGTTTTTTCCTTATTTTTTATGGTTACTGGATGTATCTTCTTAATGCTTGCGTATCTATGTGTTTAGTTATGAATATGAACAGAAAAGTACGAAAAAGTAACACATATTACCTGTTTTACCATGGTATTATTTAAAATCTCTAAATTACTTGATATTTGAGAAGTCTGTTTATAATATTACCATAGTAAGACCATGTTTTTGTACAATTTACCACACATTAACCTTATGTTTTTGTTTTTGCGTGATTACCATTCAGTACCATGGTAAATTTAACAAATTTAACATCCAATATCATATTTGTATCGCTGAGGTAAAGTTGGTTTTATAGTCACAGATTTGGACTTTCTCCTTAATAGTTTAATTTCAGAAAAGTATCCTTTGCAAATTCTGAACATTGAAATCATTAGCAGCCAATGACTATCAAAGTACACATTGTACACAGTCAAATGTTGTTTTGAAGTCGTTTAACGTGTAATTTTTAGACCCAATATTCAAAGTACCATGGTAAACAATATAGAGAGCACATCATAACATATCATCAGGTTACTGAATGAATGTGTAAATATAAAATCAACTTTACCTCAATATTTGTATCATGATTGTGCTTGTACTATATTCATTTATTACCATGTTCTTTTGGACCTGTACATTAACAGTATCATTTTTGTACCATAGTACCATCTCACTGCTTTTCTTTCTACAATAACACATCATAATATAAAACATTATGCATTTTACAGGGTAATAGTCTCCCATTTCATGGTATTTCATTATTTTGTTGGCATGTGATGGTAACGCACAGCTTTTAATGTTTATTTATTTTCCCACACTATTCACATTCGTAATATATATTGAAAGCCTTGAGATTAAATCATGATATTATGAAATTCATAAGCTGTACAGCAGTCTGAAAAAATAGCTTTGTACAAATGAATTCTACAGTACATCTATGGCTTGAAACCAAATTCAAAAAGTCTTAAAATAATGCATTAATCAGCTTTTAATGTAATAGGGCTATAAAATATGAGGCTATTTGATATAATGGCTATATTATGGCACAGAGCGCGTACTCCGGTCTAGAATCATTTTTCTCATCTGGAAACTTTTGCATCTGATCTGCTTCTATTCAATTACATCTGTCTCCCACGTCCATAAAGCATCTCTGTAAAGTTCAGCGTTATTAATCTCAGTCAGCAAGTACAGGACAGAAACAATCCATGAGGTTTTCGGTGCAAAAATAGTACACGCTTCAGTCAAAATTAATTACAGCGTCAGGCAATTACACTTGAAAATTAGCCTGAAGTGACGAATGGGGCGTAGCCGTATGATAATGCGCATCTTTAGGCCTGATCAAGACAAGTGACGTGAATTTAATCACATTTGAATTGGAGAAATTACACTTTTCAATTAGTTGCCGCACTTGTATTCGCATTTTCATCTGCGTTTTAAAGCTGGCACTGGATTTCGTGTCAGAATGAACATTTATCTCCAACACGGAACATCAAACACTGATTTGATTCACAAGAAAGAAGTTTTAGTAGGGCTGGAGGATATGACCAAAAATAAAACCCCAGTTAATTGAACACACTACCTCGATTTTTGATTATTAAACAATTTATTTTCAGTGTATTTATTTATTTTTTCCTCTCATACTTCATTATTATCATCTGTACTTTAAATCTCAACAGTTCCCACCCAATACCAAAAAAACCAGCAACAAAGAATATGATTTACCTGACCCATATTTCCATTTTCTTTTCTTTTTTGTGATATTTATGACATATGAATAATGCACTCATTGCTATGTCTTGGAAAACTACCAAGCGCTCCGTTTTTCCCAACGTTATTTCAGGCAATTCGTAACTTTGTGGTGTAGCGGCTAATTTGTATGAATTTGTATGACCTCATTTGAAAATTACGATTTGCTCATCCCCCAATGACGGTTGGGTTTAGGGGTGAGATCGGGTGCCACCCCTTTTTAATAAACATTACATTTTCTTATGACTGAACTCGTAAGAAGTCGTACATGTTAGCTACTTAACTGACAAAACAAAAAATATTTACACTTCCTCATGAGATTTGGTTGGTTTTTTCACATGTGGTAATACGTTTTTAAAGGGGAAGAGTTAACGGGATTAAAAAAGCAAAATAACTGACATGGGGGGGTGGGGGGGGGGATCACGTCAGTTATGGTGTATTTTCGATTATTTGTCCAGACCTATTGTTTTGTGACTTTAATCATGTGCTACACTGATTAAATTTAATGACATCTGAATTTAATAAACAATATTTTTTATTGGTTAATGTGTTTACGTTTACATTTTTAACTGCATATTTTGAGCTGGCAGTGTTTTTTTTTAGTTGCAATAAGCATTTTCACCGCAAAAAGTTTTGATTATCAAACACTAATTGTGTTGTTTTAAATCACTTTCATGAACAATTTGAAGTGACGCAGTAGTACAGAATCACATTTTTGATTCACTTCACTTAAGAGAACAATTTTAAATGATTAATTAGTCATGATACGGTGATTCAACTTAATCAACGATTAATTTTATAAAGCACACCTTTTTTAAAATTATTTTATTCACATTATATAAAGTTTATTTATTTATTCATATTTATTCATTTATTTATAAAATGTATTTATTTATTCACATTTTCATTTGCATATTAGAATTACCAATAATGTTAGTTAAAATAAAGCTTTTATCACTGGCAAATTGAACACTGAGTGCGCTGCATGTATTGATTTGCTAAAATGAGCTGATACGAATTACTCAGAAGTTTATTTTATTTTTTTAATTCATTTAAAAATATTTTTTATGATCTCATTCAGATGGTATCCCCAGCAGGCACAGGACGTTAACATTGATGTCAGATTGACGTTGTACCCGAATGTCATTGCGACATTGCATTTTGTTTGGAAATTCAAATTGGGTTGATGTCAGTTCGACATCAATGTCCAACATCCAACCTAAAATCAACCAAATACCAAAGTCTAATGATGTTACAGCTTGACGTTGTGTGGACATTATCACTATGACGTCCATCGGACAGATTTTGGTTGTCATACCTGACGAATAAATGTCAGTATTTGACGTCAGTATTATGTTGGTTTAAGATGTTGGCTCAACGATGGATTTTGGTCACTTTCCAACACAACCTAAAATCAACAAAATATCAACGCCACATGACGTCATTATTGGATGTCAAGAAAGCGTTGTTCTTAGACGCTGACTTGTCATTGAGTTTTAGTCACCTGATGTCACAACCTAAACTAACCTAATAGTAATGTCTTATGAGGTTGTGGGTCTGCTGGGATTAATCACATTTAAATGAATAATAAAAAAAAGGCATTTTAGAACTGGCACTGGTCTAATAATAACTAATGATCAAACATTGATTTGTTTTGATTCACTAAAAACATCCTAATTAAATGACCCATCAAATAATTAATTGATCATGATAATTAATCATATACAGTTTGGAGTGCATGCCAATGATTCACTTCACCAGTTTAAAGAGCCCATATTATACATGAAATAGGGTCATATCTTGGTTGTAAGGGTCTCCAACAACAGTTTAATATGCATGCAAGGTCAAAAAACACTTTCGTGGTCTTATAATCTGCATTTATTTTTACCTAATTATCCCAGCGACTCCTGTATGAATCGTCCAGTGATTCATTTGTTCCCAAACCCCTCCTTAGCGCGAAGCTAATCTGCGCTGATTGGACCAATGACAGTCTGTTGCGATTGGTCGACTGCCTTCAGTCAGAGATTGAAATGCCAAACAGCTAATCAGCAATATAAAAGTAATCACAGTTCATACACGCTCGATAGTGTATTTTAGCTGCCAGTGGGTCAATGTAAATACAGACTATGGACTTGAAAATACAGACGACTAGCTATTTTATTGAGCAAAAACTCCAAAAACAGTTGAGGAGATCTCCTAGCTTCTCACTCTGCTCTTTTCACCGACACACACACACATATTGCACAAACACACACACGCACTTAACCCTGCTCCGGACGACAACGCGCGCGCGCACACACACACACACACACACACACACACACACACACACACAAACACACACACCTCCGGACGACAGCGCGCGCACACACAGACACACACACTACTCCTTGTCCACGGAGCTCCGTTAACAAAGCAGCACGCGTCACGTTTTTAACGTGACTTTGCATGCGATAAGAGAATATAGCCAGTTAACCTGATACAGTACACGCGGTTACAAGTAACAAATCACAACTAAATACATTTGCAAGCTAGAGTCAACGAGGCAACTTTAATCGCACGTACTTACACTTGAGAAATGGAGGAAGAAAAATCCATCCTGACGTCCAGCAGTAAGTTACTCTTTACTGATCCTTCCTTTAACAAACGCTGATGAAGTATTCTTTGTAGCATGTAGCTTCCAGAAGTTTCCAGTAGTTTCCAACTGCTTGGCTATAATGCTGAGGTTTCATGTTTGGGTAGAGACTCAATATATCCATCTGCAGTGTGACTTCAATCGACCGGCGTGTGTGTGTGTGTGTGTGTGTGTGTCTGGGTTTTTGCGTCAGAGGGCGGGGCCTCAGGTTTGAAATCTCCCGGGTTTGCGCGTGCACGTGAATAACTTGGTTTCGTTCGTACGTCATGGCGAAACACCTAATGAATCGGTATCAAGGCGACTCGTTTGAAGCACTTTGAGTCGACTCCTTTATAGATGAATCAACCGTTTTAAACACTGTACACTAACAGATTTAAGCCTTAGCTGGATACTTCACTTCACTTAGAGC